TCAATATGCGAGCGAATCTTTGGTACACGGTACATGGTACATGGTACATGGTACATGGTACATGGTACATGGTACATGGTACATGGTACATGGTACATGGTACATGGTACATGGTACATGGTACATGGTACATGGTACATGGTACATGGTACATGGTACATGGTACATGGTACATGGTACATGGTACATGGTACATGGTACATGGTACATGGTACATGGTACAATGTACATGGTGTATGGAATAAGGAATAGGAGCAAAGTATATATATATAATTAAGGAACAAACATGGTACATGGTACATGGTACATGGTACATGGTACATGGTACATGGTACATGGTACATGGTACATGGTACATGGTACATGGTACATGGTACATGGTACATGGTACATGGTACATGGTACATGGTACATGGTACATGGTACATGGTACATGGTACATGGTACATGGTACATGGTACATGGTACATGGTACATGGTACATGGTACATGGTAAATGGTGTATGGAATATGTAATTAGGAGTAAGGTATATATATATAATTAAGGCATAAGCTAAGGTGCAATTATAATTGCTTGATTCAGCATTAATTAATGTATTGTCTATTTTACATTTAATTTGATATTCTAATTGCCCGCTTGTATATGATTCCCAATTATTTGCCCATGTCAAACTCGAAACATTCTCGCAAATTAAAGTTGTTTTTGTCCGCCAATAGGAAAAAAAATCTCATGTAGTTGCGCATATTTGCAAATAAGACAGAAACTGGGGCACTTAAGGAGCTCATTTGCATTAGCAATTTGGCAGTTGGTTTAGTCATTAGCGTGGACAACGACAACAACAAACAGTAGCACGTGCGTTTGTGGTCTCAAATTTATAACCCACGCATAAGACTTAAGAAAACATATAGATGTATGTATATATAAAATCGCAAGCAAAGTCTTTGCTATCTAAGAAATTAAGCAGCAGCAAACGGCGCATACATTTAGCCGCTGGTCATATTTTGTAATCAGTTCCATTTGCCGCTCACCACAGACATGCCACCGCAGCGGCTGCCGCGGCAACCACGGCAAAGTCTCAGACAGCATGGAGCCAACGAGATGGTGTCCAGTTTTAGGCTCCGCGACAAACCACTTTGGCAATCCAAGTCAAGCGGCACATATTTTACTTGCCTCTTGTTGTTGTTGGTGCTGTTGTTGCTGTGGTTGACATTTTTATGGACATTGGTATGCCCAGCGACTGGGTAGACCCCAACGAAATTAAAAAAAAAAATAAATAAACCGAAACCAAAATCGAAATGCGAAAATTGTCATTGCCTTCTATTTGACTTTGCTCCACCCCGTGCCGATTTACGTTGCGGCCAAAACTGATTAGTGAAACAATTTCAAATATTTGTGTTAAATACCTTAAAATTAATTGCAATTGTGCTCGCTTTTGCGGTCGCCTCAAAGGCAACCACAAAATGAAGTTATAACTAATTTCGTGTGCGTTGGCGGTGCCTTATAAAAGGCTTCCAATGAACCAAAAATGGATAAGGTCAAAAGAATCTGGCCAAGTGGAAAAGAGAGAGAGGGGCAAAACATAATCGAGCTGCCTGAGAATATTAAATATAACAGAACGCACAGCAAAAACAAGTTTAGGAGCCTTAACTTTCAAAAAAGCTTCACAAGCTCATTAAATTAAAAGCTTTAAGATAAAAAAGTACGGAAAGTTGATAGGATTAAAAGAAAAGCTTGTGCAACAGCTGAAAGAGTTATGGGATAGAAGCTTCCAAAGCATATAAAAGCTTCTTGGAAAATAAAAAATGGTTAACCTGGGAGGATTAAAAGCTTGACATTTTAATTATATGAAGTTGAAAGCACATAAGCTAAATTAACGTAAAAGCTTTCCCGTAAGCTTTCTCAGTGTGATAAAATATTTTTGATCCTTCTAAGATTGTTGTAATTTTACTGCCAGTACTATTTTTATAATTATTGTATCAGCTCTGCAGCTTTTGTTGAAAACCAAAGTATATTTTATTAGGTTTAACCTATGTCTCAGTTGTTAGCAGAGCTCACCAAAGTCTAAAGGAATTTCAAACCAGCCTCTCAATCACTTTTCATTCCTAATCTTATATCTTGAGCTGCTGACTGGGCAGTTATTTTGCCAGCCACTTGGCGTGGGTGTTGCCTATGAAAGTCGTTTTGGGATTGCGGGCTACTGTGTGGCTACCGTTGTGTGTGGCAGGCCGAAGACCAAGTCCAGGCCGATTTTCAATGCAGCCTTCTTTTATTGTCATTTGGCTCCGAGAGATAGTGAGATGTATCGATAAGAGAAAGAGAGGGAAAGACTGGAAGAGAGCGGGAGAGAGGGAGAGAGAGAGTCAAACAGGCTTTAGCCATTGACTTCTTGAGTGCACAGAAGTCACAAGCTGGCAGATTAAAGTGTCAGATTTATGGCCAAAGAATGCGAAAACGGGTTGCCAGCCAATGCCTGCCAAACTGTGCCATCAAACTAACACCGCAAATTCGTTAATTAAGTATAATGGCCAGTTTTGACTGACTAAGCGGCTTGATGCTTCGACCCCAAAATTCAGCAATTGTACACATTGTTGGGCAACAACAATAACAAACGCTTGCAACATGTTGCAAGCGTCTCTGAAGCGTCTCTTCAATCAAGCTAAGTTTTCGACTCTTGACCCTAATGTGTTTGAAGCAGCGCACTTTTATTTATTTACTTATTCGTATTTTTAGATTTTCATTTTGGCCAAGTTTTGCATTAAAAATTTGTACTTTTATGCAGTCATAACTTAAATTCCAGCACCAGGGGGTCATAAATCATTTGTGTTGTTGTCATTCGACTGCAAAATTGTTTGTTGACTACAATTGTTTTGCATAAAATGCATTTTTTTTAGGTGGGCTTTGCATGGTCTAAAAATAAAGGCATTACGAAATCCAGATGTGGGCTACCAACTTTTTTATTAGCCAGAGCAGGTGATCTGATTTACGTAATAAGAAATAATAAAAAAGCTTTAAAAATTTTATTATTTAAATGCCATTTCAGTAAAAATGGAGAACAGTTTGATATTTTACGGTAAGCTGCAGAAAGCAAACCGGAGATTAAGAAAAAATTGTTTAGAATTTACAGTATGGGAATATTAGATGAAATGAAGCCAACGATGGATTTTATCTATTAAATCTATTAAAGTGACAATGGAGGACATTTTGATACAATTGAGAGTTTGTTTAAAGTAAACAAATGTCTAAGAATTATTTTACAATTTTCTTGTTAATTGAAAGAATAGTATAATATTCTACGCATATTTGATAAATATAATATAATTTATTTGGATACAATTCTACAAATGGTAACATTTTGTAAATTGTGTCCATTTGTATAAGCATTATTATCATTACCTCTACGCGCATTTAAATCTAATTTAATGTTCTATACACACACTCTACCCATACATCATATATGGCCCATTACAGCGTCCCATTGTAACTAGATATTGCTCATGGACTGTGAGGCAGTTCTCCTTGAAGTTCCAAGTCTTATTGTACCATTTTTTAACACCAAACAGACAATAGGCAAAAATGAGAAGAAGAAAAAAAGCAGTTATAATACAAGCTGCACTCAAATAACAATTTATTGTTTTGTAACACGCCTGGGCAACAAACCCAAAGTGCAGTTAAAAGAAACCACTCGACTGGGTCTTCATCTATTCTACTGCCGCCTTTGCTGCTGCTGCTGACCGAGCTGCTGTTGTACTTGGAGAAGCACTCAAATTGCATTTAATTCAGTATTTCTCCAAGAGTTGCCTCTAAGCTTTATGTTTTTCAATTCGTTTTATAGCTCAAACCTGGTTGGGTTTTTCATATCCCACAATAATAAAAGTACAATCAGTTTTGTTTTTCATAAGGTTCGAATTAGGTCTAGCTTCTGTTCTATCAGTAAATTAGTTTAATGTTCGGCTCATAGTTAAAACTACTAACTACGCTACCCAATCGAGTTTTTTTTTCCGATTGCTGCGTAACTTTTGGTCAAGCTTCCATGTTGAAATGCAAAAATCTTTAGCTTCGCTTGACGTTAGTTCAGGTAGTTACTTTTGGCATTTTATTGCTGGCTACCCACTTTTTGTTTTAACTGGCAGTTAATTAGCTAATAAGTTATGGTTAGGCCGTGTAATTGATTTTCCAAAGAACACGAAACGTTTTTTTTTTGGAAGTCATAGCTCTGCAGCGCATTACGAAGCACAGATAAAATTCAATTATGTACTCCGTGCTGCTGCACAGATCTAACGCATTTTTTCTGTGCTTTCTGATGGACTGCCCCGCCCCGCTACGCCCCAAATGAACATCTGTTTTTTTTATAGGTGCAACCACACAGTCATCTATCAGAGTGGGCAACAAATAGATTATGGGAATATGGAATATTTCATGGTATATGAAATATTTTTCCGAATTTCTTTGTTCTTAACCGCAACTTAGTTTTATTTTTATGTTGTGTGTGTCTTTAAGAATTACTACCAATGTAATTCCAATTATTTAAATTGTGTACTTTTATTTCAAAAAGTAATTTTGTTCTTGTTTTTTTGGAAAATGGAATAGTTTTAGATTTCTGTGAAAACTAAAATCACTTTGATATCAAAAGATCGTGTGATATTATTATGATATTATTCTTCTGCTAAAAGCTAAGTAGAAATTTACAAATATTTGTATTGTATTTGTTTCTATAATACCCTTTCTGCACTTCAAACTCTCATTAAATTCCAAAAAGTAGGTTTTAAATTTCGAATGCTTAGCAGCCTAGGTAATACCCTTTCTAGAATTAAAAGTGCTTTATTTATTTTGGAATACCCAAAGTCGAAAAAAAAAGATTTAAAATTAAATATAATTGCTTTCTGAATTAAATATTATCTTGCATATTTATTTTTGAGAAACATACTTTTTGGTGCAGTGTATAGTTTGATATAATATTTTATAAAATGTTGTGTAGGTAAATAAGTGCATGGGTACTCACCCTCACAGGCCATAGCTTCGAGCTCATCGTCAGTGTCGCTTATCAGCTCCCAGTCGGCATCGTTTTCGGCCTGGCGCAGTGCAGCCAAATCTTCGAGCTGTTCGGCATTCACATTCATGCCAAAATAACCATCCTGGCACTCAGAACACTTGATGCCCATGACGCCCATTTTGCATTCGCATTGCCCGGTGCTGGCATTGCAGTTGTCCAGCACAGCGGCGCCCAGTGCATCACAATTGCAGGGCAGGCACTGCAGCTCGATATGGGCATAGCCAATGTCGCATTCATTGCACTTTTGTCCCGCAAATCTGGGCCGGCACAGGCACTGCCCGTCGGCGCTGTCGCAGAGGCCGCTCTCCGAGCCCTCGGCAGAGCAGTTGCAGGGCTCACAGCCGACGGCCGGATCACCCCAGTAGCCCAATTTGCACCGTTCACAGCGCCAGCCCTCCGTATTGCCATAGCAGGTGATGCAGGCGCCGGTGGTGACATTGCACGGACCACCCTCGCAATCGCAGCGCTGACAACTGCTGCCCAACTCCAGAGGATTGCCGTAGTAGCCATCGTCGCACACCTGACAATGGTCGCCCGTATAGCCCTCCGGGCACTGGGTGCATATGTATTCCGCATGCTCGATCAGCTCGAATTGCGGATTCAGATCCATATAGTTGTAGCTCTTTAGCTGGCAGCTGGGCGAGAAATTGTTGGACTCCTCCGGCAGTGGGCAGGCGCAGCGTTTGCAGTCGTGGGGCGTGCCCTGCAGCGGATTGCCATAGAATCCGAGCTGGCAACGCTCGCAGCTGGAGAAGGTAGAGAATAATAATGCTGCATGAGGTGTGTGTCTTGACTAAATAGAGTTATGGTGAGCTGTGGTGAGTTTTTGGTGCAAATGCATACGACAGCGTGGAGACTGGTGTGTGTACAGGCTTAGAGTGTATTGTGTGTATGGTAGGTGAATTGGGTAAACAAAATACAATTGTGTGTCCTGCTCTGCGTGTGTGGATGGTAATTGATTTGGCTAAATGATAAGTGGTAAGAACAGCTGCACGAGCTGTACTTCTTGCAAAAGTTATATTCTTCATAGGATAAAAAATGTGAAATAACTCAGCTATCCTTAATTCTACTCTTACTGTCTTTTTGACTAGATAGGGTTTGATTTACTGCTCACCCCGACTAAACAGTTTACACACCGCTTAACGCGTCACACTGGTATGTGTATAGGCTTAGAGTACCTTGCACGTGTGGATGGTAGGTGAATTGGATTAAATTACATTGATGAAAGTGTAAGGCTATGATCTGAAATCCACTTGAATACTTGATCATTTGTTCATCTTTGAGAATCAATTTTGAATATTTTAACAACCTCAAATTGAATTGTATAGCTAAATGGTAGGTGAATCTGGTGAAAGTGATAATGAATTCACTTGTGATCCACTCACATCATAGCCCTTTTATTATCTAAACATACGGACTATATGTCTGTGTGGATGGTGTATGTACTGGCTAAATGTTAAGAAAATGAGTACCTTTTTGATGGTATATGTATTGGCTAAATTTTAAGAAATTGAGATGCCTTTTTACCATTCTCATAAGAGTATTTTGTATTTAATTAAGGCAGCTCCATGCCTAAGGCCCCCTTCTCCACCCCTCACTCACCGCTCTCCATATGTATTGTGCATGCAATCGCCACAATTGCCGCTCTGCAGATCACAAGAGTTCGAGTGTCCATTGCACGGACAGGGTATGCATTTGCCAAGCAGCTGATGATCCGTAGAGTTCTCATAGATGCGTTTATAGCCAAAGGCGCAGCCCTCGCAGGACAATCCCGTATAGCCAGCTGGACAAATGCACTGCTCCACCTGCGTTGTGGCCCTACCGCCCAGCTCCACACCACCCGAATAGATAATGGCATGTTCCAGGGAAGTCTCCACCTGATCTGTGTGATAGGCGGCGCGTATGAGCAACGCATCCAGCGAGACGAGCACGGAGAGAAACTGTGATCTGGTCACCACATCGCCATGATAGTCGCCACCCTCGGTGCGTCTCAGTCTAGTCTTGATATCCTTCACCGCTGGCGGCACATGATACCAGCCTTGTTCCGTCAATGTAACATTCAGCGCCAGCTCCAGACTGTCGTAGGACTCATCCGCATAGGCTATTTTCAGGCCATTCTTGCCGCATAGAATAACATTTGGACCTGTGGTGGGTTTGCCTGAAGTATCGCCGCGCATTACCACCCAGGACAACTGCAGCTGCAGCCGGGCGCCGTAGCTGGTCAATCGATTGCCCAGATAGCCCAACGGCGCCTGCCAGTAAATCGCCTCCACCTCGTCCAGCTCGTTGCCAAAGATCAGACGCTTATGTTCCGCATCCATGGCCACAGCGATGGCCTGTGCCCGCTGTATGTCCGTCAACCGCCAATCGTTCAGCGTCTCAAAGGCCAACGTTTGCAGCTTGGCGCTGTGGCAAGTGTCCGACACGTGCGAGCACCAGCAGCGACTGCAGCCCTCCGGATTCTGCTCGGTCAAGTCGAAGTGGCCCGTGGCGCACTCACCGCAAGTGTCGCCCTGCACATGAGCCTTGCACTGGCAACTGCCAGCGCAGGCGCTGCCCGCCACAGTGCCGCGCAAATCGCATTCGCAGCGCCGACAATCGTCGCCATAGTGATTCGGGGCGCACTCCTCGCAGTGGTCACCCTGCAAATATAATAGATTTTTATCGATTTATCGATTCATTTTCCCATTGAGTATTTTCGATATTGAAACATCAATAATTAATGCTCTGAAAATGTTTGTACATTAATATCGAGTCATTAAGTTACTCGATATGAAAGGTTACAAATTCGATATAATTTTTTGTTTATTCCCAAATAGCAAACATTTCATATTTTATCGAAATATCAATGAACCGTCAATTTGTTTTCTTTTAAAAATAAATATCGATAAATATCGATTTTAAATTCTAGCTTAAGTTATAGCACTAACCATACAATGCATAGACTTGTCAAATGTTAAAATAATCGGATACCGATAAATCGTCAACGACTGAGCCCCATGGGTGACCGCGACCATTTTAGTGTGCCCAGACAAAGTAAGACTGCTGAGAGTGGCAGCCGAACGCCGGCCTCGACAGCCGAACGTTCAGTATGAAGCCGCATCCCGCTCAGCGCACAACGTTGCTGCGGCTGATGCTGTTTTGTAATATATGTATCTTTTCAGCCCAAATACATACATATGTGTATATGCGTGTGCAGAGTGCCCCTCGCTCACACTTATTGCTTTGCGCACTTGTGTGCATCTCCTTCTCCCTGCATAGCTTCTCAAAAACCCCGAGATCTACAAACATACATACATATGTTTGTGTTGTGTGGATGTGCGCACAAGTAGATCGCGGCGTTTGTCGCGAGCCAGAGATTTTTTCTTCAATTGTGTGCCCTTTGTGCCTGTGGTGGCAAAAGGCACACACATTCAAATGCTCTATCATGTATTTCTTCGTCCAGTCAGGCATAAGGAGAAGAATCTGATATATTTATATTCATTAAAAACTTAAATGACCTAAATGATATATTTATATATTATATTTTAATTTTTTTTGTTTACTGTGGGGGGGACCAATTTTGCCTAAAATTAAAAAAAAACTAAGTCGTATTTCTGCAAGGGTAATTCTTCGTCGGCTTGTCGAATAATTTAAGAAAAGACCAAACATTGAAAATATTCAATTTTTTCGTCTTGCTACTTGTGCACACGCACACTCTTTCGAGTAAGCAGTTGGGTGACATTATTAAAGGGTTTGGCCTGTTCATGTGCAAAACGCCTATTTTCCATGCATGGTGTAAGGGTAAGGGTACCTGAACGTTGGCATGTGTGCATAATAACTTTTTGGGCCTGCCAAGCACACACACTAACACACTTTTCTATATGGATGGAAGCATTTATGCGTTTTGTGTGCGTGTTGGTTGCCTGCCTGCCTGCCCGATGCAAATTTGACCAAATTTGAAGTTTTTGGCATTTCTGAATTTCGAGCTCTGACACACAGACACACACACACACAAAAATGTGTGCGAATGAGCCGATCAAGGGTTTGTCGTGAGACAGAGATATTTTCATCAATGGGTGCGTAAATTTGGGCGACGGTGGGCTTGCGGCCGCGTAAGGCACAAATGTGTGAACAAATGGACAAATGGATGCAGACGCATGCTGCACATTCTTATCGTTAATTGCCTGCCATAACACCCTTTAACCCAAAATGTTTACTATGTCAAAAAATAAATAAAAAGATCACTTGCATTTTTTCCATATCAAAGTGCAAACGAGCGGCAAGTGGCGGTTCACCTGCTTTCGTTGCCTGTTCACACATGTGTGCCTTACGCGGCCGCAAGCCCACCGTCGCCCAAATTTACGCACCCATTGATGAAAATATCTCTGTCTCACGACAAACCCTTGATCGGCTCATTCGCACACATTTTTGTGTGTGTGTGTGTCTGTGTGTAGAGCTCGAAATTCAGAAATGCCAAAAACTTCAAATTTGGTCAAATTTGCATCGGGCAGGCAGGCAGGCAACCAACACGCACACAAACGCATAAATGCTTCCATCCATATAGAAAAGTGTGTTAGTGTGTGTGCTTGGCAGGCCCAAAAAGTTATTATGCACACATGCCAACGTTCAGGTACCCTTACCCTTACACCATGCATGGAAAATAGGCGTTTTGCACATGAACAGGCCAAACCCTTTAATAATGTCACCCAACTGCTTACTCGAAAGAGTGTGCGTGTGCACAAGTAGCAAGACGAAAAAATTGAATATTTTCAATGTTTGGTCTTTTCTTAAATTATTCGACAAGCCGACAAAGAATTACCCTTGCAGAAATACACTTAGTTTTTTTTTAATTTTAGGCAAAATTGGTCCCCCCCACAGTAAACAAAAAAATTAAAATATAATATATAAATATATCATTTAGGTCATTTAAGTTTTTAATGAATATAAATATATCAGATTCTTCTCCTTATGCCTGACTGGACGAAGAAATACATGATAGAGCATGTGAATGTGTGTGCCTTTTGCCACCACGGCCAAAGGCACACAATTGAAGAAAAAATCTCTGGCTCGCGACAAACGCCGCGATCTACTTGTGCGCACATCCACACAACACAAACATATGTATGTATGTTTGTAGATCTCGGGGTTTTTGAGAAGCTATGCAGGGAGAAGGAGATGCACACAAGTGCGCAAAGCAATAAGTGTGAGCGAGGGGCACTCTGCACACGCATATACACATATGTATGTATTTGGGCTGAAAAGATACATATATTACAAAACAGCATCAGCCGCAGCAACGTTGTGCGCTGAGCGGGATGCGGCTTCATACTGAACGTTCGGCTGTCGAGGCCGGCGTTCGGCTGCCACTCTCAGCAGTCTTACTTTGTCTGGGCACACTAAAATGGTCGCGGTCACCCATGGGGCTCAGTCGTTGACGATTTATCGGTATCCGATTATTTTAACATTTGACAAGTCTATGCATTGTATGGTTAGTGGTTATAGTTCAAATATATCGATGTATGCAAATCAATCGATATTTTTTAAATAGTTCCCACAAACCTAACATTCCTCATTTAAAAAGATACTTTAAATATGGGAGAACCGTCAATATATTTTCACTCACATAATAATCGATATATATCGGTTTTTACTTGAGCACTTTTAACTTTAACGCAAGAAGCTAGACCCTAAACAATTTAGGCTCTTTACCATGCATAAAATTATCAGAAACGATGCACATTGACATATGCAAAAATCGATAAGTTTTGACCGAATCAATAACTCGATTAAACAACTCTTACCTGAAAACCGTCTAGACAATGACAAGCGCCACCCAAAGGCGCGCAGCTGCCCGTCGAGCGCTGCGGATTGCAGGCGCAGGGCAAACAGGGTTCAGTGGGAGGCGCATCGAAGGGTCTATAGAAACCGCCGGAACAGAATTCACACTCATTGCCCGCCGTATTGTTGCCACAATTCTGACAAATGCCACGCTCCAGAAACGCATCGTAGCTGCAGCTGTGCGCATGACCATTACACTGGCAAATCTCGCATTCTCCGCCGGGCGTCCAGGCACGATCCTGGAACAGTGGACAGCACTCCTCGCACTGCATGCCGCACGCATTGTGCTGGCAGATGCACTGCAGCATGGAGCTGCCTGGCACATCCTGGGTGCGATTCGCGTGCCCGTGACAGTCGAGGCGGGCGCTGACACGCAGCTGCTTGAGGCTGTAGAAACTGCGCTTCTCCAGCGACTGCGAGTCGAGCACCCAATCGACGCTGTTGTCCAGATTCGCTGTGGAGTGCATACCCTGCAATCGTATGCGCATAAAACGCGCTCTGATGAACTGCATCAGCTCCGGCGTCTGCTCCTGTGCGCCAGGTCGATTCTTCAACAGGGACACGTGCAGCTCCCCATTCTCCAGCGGCAGCGGCTTTGAGTACTGCGTTGAGCATATGACTTCGGTGTCGTTTTTGAATATATATTTGCCATTACGGCCGGACAGATTGTAGCGTCGCTTACAGTCCGCATCGCTTAAGCCAAAGTATTGCCAGGGCTCGTATTTGATGCCATCGATTGATTTCTCCAAAATCCAGGAAGCGGGACGCGGTGAGTTCGCCGATTTCAGCATGACGAAAAAAATTTGATAGGTCTGAAAAACAGCAAAAGTACAAAGAAATTAAAAATATTATTATTATTAATAATAATTACATTATTATAAGCATTAATATAAAGGAATGTAAGAAAGGGATGTTGTCCTACTTCATGAATGTGGATTGTCAGGTGGAAAGTAATATACTTTATGACAGGTCTCAATTGTAATGCGAAGAGTCTCTTAAGCTTAATGCACGCCCCTCCATTGTCACTTTAATGTAGCCTGATTTCGTAATAATTTAGACATTTTCTTGACAGTAATAGGTCTGTCCTTTTTTTCAAATATTGTTTTTTTTTTCTCACTAATGAGAAAAAAACAATTTAGCAGATCGAGTGAATATTCATGAGAAGTCCTCCATGGTCACTTTAAAGAAAGATGAAGAGTTATCAATGTCTAGTCCTACTTTATTGACCAAGCATTTCTGTGCAGTTTCAGCTGATGTATATTTTTGATGGAACGAAGTAAACCTGGTATTTAATGCCAAGTTCTCCACGGTCACTTTATTTATAAGCAATTTATATAAAAATTTGTACACTAACGACCATGCCCCTATGAATAGCATTTAAAAGTCCTCCATGGTTACTTGAGTGAAGTATTAATGTGTAATACCAAGTTCTCCATGGTCACTTTATGAATAATCAATTTCATGTACATTTGCAAACTAACGTCCAGGGTAATAAATGAGCTGTCTGTAAATAAGGCTTCTGTCTGAAGGAACACCCAAGTCCTCCATGCTCAATTTTTAACACCAATTCCTTCATTGATACTTTATTAATTTCATTTTTTTCATGCATATTTACAAGCAAAGGTCCTCCACAGCCACTTTATAGATCTGATAAGCAAAAATGCCTAAATAAGTCTCTCTGCCGAGGTCTACTGCCCCCATATTACGGCTCGTCCTCCATGGTCACTTTATAACATAATTAGCAAGTAATTTTGTAACAAACACAACCGCTCGGTCGTTTTTCACTTTATATGCATTAAGTCACTTATTAATTTACATTTATGGCCAAAAGTTTGTTTGGGAAGTTAACAAACCGCAATATTACAGTTTACAGTTTTACATTCACTGGCCTGCGCTATAAATTAGCCGCACGGCGAAAAACGATGTTGTTTCTGTCACTTTGGGGCAAGGCGCTGATGTTTCCATTTAGTTTTATACATCTTTGTAGCTGCAGCTGCAACAGCAACAACAACAGCAAAGCTTATAGATTCGTAGCAGCCGCCTATTGCCGCTGGCTGGGTGCAAAAAAAAAAACTTTAACCCAACGCCAGCGTCGTGTCATAAATTTTGCAAGCTGTCAACAAACAAAAACCAAAAAAAAAAAGAAAAAAAAAGAAGGCGACTCCCAAACGCCAGCAACACGCCCGGCGGCAGCAGCAACCGACACGAGATATTTATATGTTTTTCTACATATATTTTCTTGACTATTTGGAAAATTGTTTGGCCAAAATGCCAAAAATGTCGCGTGTTGCGGGCCTATCGATTGCCAAAGATCGGAAAAATACAAATAAATGGAAAAACTAAAACCAATAAAAGGCGTGTGTGTGTGTGTGTGTGTGTGTGCAAGGTGTGGCCTTTTGACCAGCTTTGAGTCTGGGTAATTGATTATAAAACGTGGCTAAGCCGGCTGGCGCCATCTAGCGATATTTTCCAGCAACGTCAGCTCCAAAAAAAAAAAAGAAAAACCCGCTCATAAGCCATGGCCAAAATGTCAGGCGCATTGCGATAACACAACGCGACAGGCGACATTCAACAACGAGTCTATCAAATTTCCACGGCACTTGTTGCAACAACAACACATTTTCGCCGCTAGTTTTTCCCGATTCGCAGACGCTGATAAAACGCGGAAAAGCCACTGGTTAAAAAAGACCAAAGCCAAGCACTGCGCATGCGTGCGTCTGCCAGCGGCAACATCAATTTGCTTTGCCTGGTTTTGATTACAGCCAACAACTGTTGCGTGTGCATGACTCGGAAATACCCTATGCATAGCTCTAAGCTGTCGCTACAAACTCTTGCATTTAATTCACAATTAATTTTTAGATAACTTTTGGGCCTATCATTGGATTTTTGTGATGTTTTTATAGCATAAAGATGGTCTTTAAATTTACCACTTTTTCTTATGGAGAAAGGGTATATTTCTTATCTTATAGCTTGAAAATCCTTGCTATAAAAACGACTTTTAATGATTTGATAGGAAATGGGTAACGCTTTCGATTAAAACTGATTAAATTGATTTACTTAAGCTATACAAAAATATATATTTCCAATAACAAGCTCTACGTGTTTATTCAGACAAACTTGACTCAGAGATATTGCCTTCTGCCATTGTAACAAACATTCGCAGCAAGTCATTAAACCCACTTTCAATTCGTACAGGGTATAACAACATCAGCTGCCAGAAGACGGCACGACATGCGCTGATAAGATTAGAGCGAGATAGCAAATCGGATAGAGACAGCAAACGTAAGAAATTGCTGGCCAGGCAAATTAGTGAATGTCTTGAAAAATTTATTGCATGCTGCCAAATGATTTGTGAACCAGAAAAAAAAAACGGTTTGAATACAATTTTAGAGGTATGAGTGCAAAGAAAAATTGCTTTAACGGTGGGTGACATAAGTGACCAAGGAGGACAAGTGGGAATGCAAATTATATGATTTTATGAGAAGCTTTGATGCAGTTAAAGTGAATATGGATACATCTTTTCGAGGTCATGTGTTGGTTTAATCTTTGGAAATTGAGAAAACGGATTGAAAGCAATTTCTAACACAAGACAAGTGAACATGGAGGGTAAAGTGAATGGGTTTTCTGATAATTAATGTAAATGCAATACAAGTTAATATGGAAGACGATGAGAAAAATATATAGAACAGTTGAGCTCGCCAGAAAAGTAAATATTGAGCACACGTGCGCTAAAGGGATGCAAATTAGAACAAACTCAGAAAGAACATAAAAAAACAATATTATTATGTCGAACAATTACAAAAAATACCATGCCAATTTCTCAAACCAATCACAAAATAAATGCCGATGTAGATTCTTTGCGACTGCAATTGTTCCATGACCATGGCAGCCTATCGATAACTTATCTCATGAAATTATGTTGTCTACGTCAATTGCACTAACCTTGATCAGAGATAAAGTCAGGTCCAAAATGCAAGTGCACGCGTCTGTGACTGCAACTTCCTGCTGCCTGGCCAGAAACAAGTTGTCGATAAGAGCGCTACGGGCAGACAGAGAAGAGTCTCTCTATAGGGCAGTGGAAGATCTGTGTAGATTGCAATCGGCAACAACAGCAGCAACAGCAGCAGCAGCAGCAGCAGCAATAGGAGGAGCAACAGCAGCAGCAAGTGGAGGCTGTCAGCCCTCGGGGCAGACAAGGCGGCACTTGACATTTTTATCAGCTATTGGACTGACGGCCAATTGACAAGCACAACAACAATAAAAACGTGTTGAACAAATGCGAAAACAACAGCAAAGAAAGATGGAGATAGAGGGAGAGATGGTAGAGAAATGAAAAAAAAAAAAAAACTAAAAGAGAAAAACCCATTCAAGGCGTGGCATTGAAATATGTGTTAATATTTGGTCAGCTTCAAGTTATTGTTATATGCACTTCCAATTGATAACTGGCCATAAAATGAAACCCGTTCTCAGATACCAGCTAGCTGATAAACTGCATGTCAAATTAGACAACAAAATGTTTAAAATATGCAAGTGAGACAGCTTAATTGAATTGATAGAGGCTGTTAAAGAGCTTTAGAAAAAACCTAGCGGTGTTCGGCCATTGAATTATGGCTTAGATAAAATATAAACCAACAATTGGCAGTCCATAATTTAACTTGCAGGTTTTCTGCTCATTAAATATTTATTGCTCAATGGCCAGAATTAATCGGGCGCAACGTTTTCCATTTTTTTTTTTACCCCCTACTAATTGTTGAAAACAAGGGAAAAACTTTTAGGCCATAAAACCAAATGCAGTAATCACCGAAAAAACTCACCGAATCGTCGCATCGTAAACTTTAAAAATAAACAAGCGCGAAATTGTGTGAGACAGACAAAAGTCTAGCAGACAGCCGAAAATAAAGTCAAAAAAAAAAGAAAGAAATAAATAAATAGCAGGCATTTAGTTATGTGTTTGGTTGTGTAGTTCCTCATATGCATATTACTCACATGTCTAATATCTACATCATTTTATTTTTATCTATATATATTTGCAAAATTATTAAGTCTTGCAGCCCAAGAAATAGAAGTTTTTGGCTGGCATGTTTTTAGATAAGGCGGCCAACAAGCGAAGCGCATAATTTGTGGCTTATGTGGCGAATGAACCCACATGGCAGACAGAAGGTGTAGAATATAGACCAGTTTAAACTAAATAGAATTGGGTATATAAGCGAGGATTTCCATTTATGAAACGCGGCCAGTGCAAGTCTTAAGAACAAGACAAAAAGCAGAAAGGTAAAAAGAAAGCGGAAGTGAAAAGAAAAGTAAGACAAGCATTGGGCAGGCATAGAATCAAAATCACATTTTTAAGCTATGCAGCGCGGCCAGTGAAACGTTTAAGAATGCGACATAAAGCGTAATGAACAATTATTACTCTCCGAAGAGAGAGAAATTGAAGAGAGTGGGTATGAGAAGAGAGCTTTATTTAGTTCTAATGAAGTTTCAACCATTTTACAAATTAAATTTTTTTCTTTTAAACAACGTTTGAGGATAAAGCACAAAATAGAATTGCAAAAATAAATAAAACTTAACAAGAGAGGCAAGAGAGACCCAAGAGTTCTTATGTATATGGATAAATTTATTATTTTCATTTTTCCCTTGAATTTATTTATAGAGCATCTTTCTGTCGCATACTTTTTAGGTTTTATCAATTCTTACTTGTTTCACTTGCTTGTCTCATTTCCGCGCGTGGGTAATAAAAAGTTCAATGCTTGAGCAAGGCAAACTTTTTTGGCCCACAACTTTTCTTATCGTTAAATTGGCGCATTAAATGCAA